ACACATTAGCCCTGTGACCCAAGATAACTCGTGGCAATGTGGTGTAGTGGTTAATGTGTCGAGCTTACACACTACACTGTCATGTTTGGACTCCCGCTTTTGGGAAGGAAAGGCTATGTGAAATTCAATGGAAACGTCAGCTCAACTAATATCATTGTGAGAAAATTCTATTACCAGTCCTTCATCACCTTAGAAGAAATAGAGTGAATACATCTCCTTACACTGATTTACTGGTAGTCTCGAAACCCTACTATCATACGAATATAAGTAATCTAGTCGATTGCTATAGCAAACATACGTTTGCTTCATCGAAACTCCCACCAAATAATAGGATATAGCAAAAAGGCCTGACCTTCCTTGAAATTTACTTATGCACTGTGACTCAAGGGTACTCGTAGCAGTGTAGCCTAGTGGTTAGCATGTCAAGCTTCCATCCTGCATTGTCGCGGTTCGACTCCCGCTGAGGATGTTGATAAGACCGATGCGAGTTCGAAACTGCAGTCCACCCTGGATGAGAACAACTTTTGGGAAAGCAAGGCTATGTGAAATTCAATGAAAACGTCGACTAAACTCATATCATTGTGGAAAAATTCTACTACCAGTCCTTCATCACCTTAGACGAAATAGGGTAAATACATCTCATTACATTGATTTACTGGTAGTCTCGAAACCCTACTCACTTACGAATAGAACATCCCTCCATAGAATGTCTCGAAAACCTACTATCATACGAATATACTTATATTAATTTGGGAAAATTCAACTACCATTCCCCTTCTTCCCTTAAACCAATTAGAGTGAAAACACCTGGATTTATAATCTACTAGTAATCCTCAAAACCTACTTATAAACCAAAAAATAAGTACTTGACGCTACCGCTATTGAAGTTCTTTCTAAATATTGGAACCTTTCATTGTTAAACATCACTGGGAAGAAGCATCGGTAGAACTCATAGGTTTCGCTAAACACTTTCTAGATATGTCTAGATATGATGTCGAGTAACAAGTTGTACCTTTAGTTGATGACCATCTTTAACATAAACGATAAGTAATCCAACATTATTCATACTTTTTTAAATTTGTTTTTAATAAAATTAATTGGATTTAAGTAGCCAGTAAGATGTACAAAACTCGTATTCATGCAAATCCACGCTTACAACCCCAAGGTTTATGTTAATGCCAAATTTCGAATGACTTTTACGAAATAAAGTAAACTACGAGGGATTCTTTAAAACCTAGTTTTTCTTCATTTCTCTTATACAAAACTTATTTTCCTATTCATTTTAAATGCCCTTCAAATGGTCATAGAGTGTTTTTATCCATTTACCATTTTTTCTCTTTACTCGTTTAATGATCTCACTGCTAGACATACATTACAGAGGATCTTACCTAAGATTGATTTGGAAGAGGGAAGAAAAATTGATATATAGATAGATGGATCCTGGAGTTTTACTTAGCTATATGGTAGTAATTTGCATCATTTTATAATTTAATAATAAGTGAGAGGAAGTAGAAGGTTGTATTAACCAGTATATAAACACGAGGTTCTGGGAAATGTAGCAAATAGTAAGAGATACTACCATTACATGCATAGTGGGGGCTCAGCTCGAAGAAGCTGCAGTGATCGAAATTCCGTCATGGCAAAGTCATCATGCAACTGCTAAGAAAATAAATTCCTATAAGTGCGGACTTAACTGTACGGCTTTTAATAGACTCTGCCTTAATTTTTAAATTCTTTTAGGTGGCAGTTTTATTTATTTTCTCCATAGCACACACACTCGACATAACCATGCCAAAGAGAAATAACATAAGTAGAATGGCTGCACGGATGGGTGTACGATAATCAACGTCATAAAGAAGGACTGATGTTGTCAAGGTCGTCAGATAGCCGAGCTAAGTAATTTATCGTGTAATTCTTAAAGACAATTTTGAGTGATTCAACGTTACTCATGTTGGTATAGATTGTTGCATTTATCGGAAAGTCTGTCTCAAATTCTGATAGTTTACTTCATTTTACTATTATTAAACCAACATATTTCTAAAGCCAATCAAATTTAAGTTTTTGTTCGAATTTGTTTATGCAACTTGATCGGAGTGTCAGGAAGACCTTGTGGAAAGTATCTAGTCCTGTGTCGTCTGCCATAGTATTCGCGATTTTCAGCATCGGACTACTGATGTTGTACATTCCCAGGCGTATACTCTGCCTTACGAATGTGAGATGCCAGCATCAACACAGAGTTACAGCATATCAAAGGGGAAAATTGTAGCGGATAAGTTGTAGATCTATGTTGACAATAGAACCCCTTATTGACGATGTCGATTACGACGGCAGCAAAACGGTTGGGAATGTACCAAGTCAATAGTCCGATGCTAGAAATCACGAATGCTATCGCGGAGGACACAGGACTAGGTATGCTACACAAGTTCTCCCTAACACTCCGACCAATCTGAGAAAAATAAGCTGAACAAACAGCATAAATCTAACGGAAACTGCGAACAAACATAAGATCACGTCATCTTGGTTTTTATATCTACCATTAAATTTACCTTGAATTAAGTTAAATATCTACCTGTACATTATCTACTTAAGCAAGTAAAAAAATGTTCTGTCCGCCTGCTTCTCACTAGAAGAGTATATGGATGAGGAAGGGGTTTACGATTTCACTTTTCTTGAGTAAGGCTCCACAAATTTACGATTGCGTTGTTTTTTATCTATCATACCTGAAATAATTAATTTAGGTGATTTATTTACTCCAAATAAATCTTATATATATATATAATAGTGACACTTAAGCATACTGGCTGAATCTAAAGTAATTTGCTATAAGTCCCTAAGCCATAAAATATCAATTATAACAAATATCGATGCTTAAAGACGCTAAAACAAATTTATTCCGATACTTTATGATGTACGGTAGCTGTTTAGTTTGTTAAAATGCTTTCGCGAGAGTTTGTCTTTTACCGCTTGTTTATACCATGCGCCGTAGTTAACCTGCTGAATTTTTACGTCGGATTCCTGCGCTAATAATATGACCGATATTTATAACATATTTGCCGGAACAAAATGTGGAGAAATAACGGATCCGTCCGAAGAACTCATCGGCAAGAGAGTAACCAACGACGACTACCTGGGAACTATAAAGTATGTTGGTCCCCTTCCTGGATCCAAAAGCTTTTGGCTTGGAATTGATTGGGACAATGAAACGAGAGGCCGACACTCTGGAATCTTCAATGGCGTTCAATATTTCTTGACGACTTTCCCCACATCAGGCTCTTTTGTAAGGTTTGTACACTTTCCTTTTGTTTGAGGCTCTTCGTATTGGCTTCTTGGTTTGGAACTCCCTCGTACAAATTTTTTCTTGTTTAATCTCGTTTTTGCTACTACTCTGGTCTGACTATTTTTTGATATCTAGTTTTATGTAAGACTGGATCTCCTTAAAAAATATATGCTTGCGCGACTCCACCAAGGTTACATATTTTAGATTATTTGCACATGCATTATTTTTTTACCTATATTATTTTCATCTTTTCTTTATATTTTTACTTTCCAGATCTTCCAAAGTTTCGTTGGGGTGTAGTTTTGAAGAGGCCCTTGTTTATCGCTATTCTACTTGTGCTGAATGTCAGCTTCTTGCAAGAAATAATGAACCCATTAAAATGGACGTTACATTACGTCAGGAGAAAGTAGATGCTTCTGCTGTGGAAAAAAATTCGGGTTTTATTACTCTCAAACCTGCCATTCAATTAGAAGAAGCTGAATATGAGGGTCCAAACGCCGATTTCATCTCTCCTTTTCATCTTGAATTGTTTTCAAGACCTATTAAGGATGCAGATCGGCATGCTTTTTGTGGATTTGCTGGGGCTGAGAAAATATTGACTAAGCTGCGTTCGGTGACTTTGTCTCAAGTTCCCGTTTATCGAGCACTGTATCACACGCAAGCTGCCGTTAAGGAGTCTGCTCCTCCTCTTTGGCCTCTTACTGGAGGAATTCTTGGAAATCTGCTTCCTAAACTGACCGAATTAGATATTTCAGCTTCTACTTTTTCGAGATGGATTGACGTCGCTGAGGTAGTCCGATTTTTCTTTTAACCTGGGTACATCTTAATTCCATTTTATTGTCTTATTTATCAAGGCTTAATCAAATACGCTGCCTCCAGATAACTCGCATTAAGCTATTCCTCATTTTGGAAGATGTGAAGATCATGGTGGTGTGGTTTTTGATATTTTTGGAGCCACCTTCTGATAGGTATAAGTGGATTGATCTCGGTTACACAATTTGGTCGTGTTGTCAGTGGCTAATTAGACACATCTTGTACCTAGTCCACGGCCCGACGCTGGAAATTATGATAGCTACTATGGTAAAGGACTTCGGACAGGGTGCGTCCAATTGCGTCGTCTTGAAAACACGACCAAGTTGAGATAAGCGATCAAACCACTTATTTGCTTCATTTTTTTATATCTGCAATTCTAACGAATTTAGTTATCCTAATTAGTAAGGGAATCCCCATTTCCCAGTTTATAGGTTTAAGAATTTCGTAATTGCTTGTATTTCAGAATGCAAATAAGTCTTCGTTTATGGCTTGCCTACTTATTTGCAGTCAAAGTGTGCAACCAGCTTGAACTCTTTCTGGGAGAATGTCTAGCTCCATAAATAGGAACGCTGATCTTATTCTTGTCTGTTTAAAACCATTTATTACGTTCACAGACTTTATTTTACATATAGCTACTCTAATTTTCTAATGTCATTTGCTTCCACGATAGCCATGCCTATACTTGCTTTATTTAGTTAGGTGCCGGATTTAAGGACTTTTTTCAGCATTATAAATAGTTATATGATCGCGACTTTTAGGGGAAATTAATAAGATGTGAAGAAAAGCTGAGTTTCAAAGAATTCTTGTATATATTAATGTTGGTGTACTTATAAATAAATTTGGCTAGGTGGGTGGAAGGTATTCGTAAGTTGGTCTCGCTAGAAGCCGAATGAGGATTGCCTTGTAGCGATGGTTGGAGATTTTTGCGAATAAGTCTTCGGTGCACTGCCCTGCGATTTCGATGAATCCATGCTGAGCTTTCGTCCGTCGTGTGACGGACATCGTCAGCAGGACACTATGCTTTACGTTAGTTTTTCAAGAGCGAAGACGAGTGGTGTGGACTGCTGCAGTCCTACCTATTTCTTGCAGTCTAGCTTTGCCCACTCAACGAGAACTCTTATGGCGTGATTGGCTATCTTATGCTATAGACTATGAGCAGGTAGTATTTCAGGTGGCCTTCTTTCTTATATTCATGTTTTAATGAATTGTCGTAGAGCATTCGATCTGAAGAGACTTAGGAAGAAGTTATTAAAGGAATATGCAGGAATATTCCTTAATTTCCTGTCCTACCATAATTACAGACTCAAGATTGGAATACTCGAAAATATAAACATAAGAAGCCTGTGAGTAACGGATATGAATTTCTGAGAAGCTGGATTGGTAAATCAACTCTAATGTTTCTTGGAAACGGATAATCAAAAGAAACATGCGGGTCGTGATGAGTGGAGGGTAGGATGTTGATTATGAAATAAAAACAAAGAAAAATTAGTTAATTTATCTACCCTACCGCTAACTGACTGGAGGCTTTGGCCACTGCTAATTAAATTAAGGATGCGTACGATTCTGAAACAAAGTACAGCGCTCTTTACCATGCCCACAACATTAAAAAGTAAACAAAATGGAGCGCTTTTGAATTCAGTGCATAAACCACAGGGGCTGTAAACGAAGTACGTTGGAGATACGGGAAGGACAATCGTCACAATTATTAAGGAATATCAGCAACTAGAGCAATGGAGGCGGAAAGATTTGATCGGCCACTATTGACTGGAGTTCGACAGAAAGACTGACTTCATATGGCAAAAATACAAGCAAAAAAAAGAACAAGGAAGCCGTGGACATCCTTTTTCGAAGAAAGAGTCAGTGAGGATTTTGTCTACTGTTCGGACAGACTAAGTTGACGGGATTCAGCAAGGACAGCCTTATGGTTATAGTTGTTGCTGAATTCTATTCGGCTGCATGAGCATCATGGGAAAATTAAGGCGATTGCAGTGACAGGAGCCAAACCTAGAACCAGCTTAAGAAAGTTATCGGAGTGGGTCTACCTGGGGATGTAGGAACAAAGAATCATTAGAGGTGCTAAGCCTAGGATTTAGATCTACTCCAAATTCACTCGGATGTTAAAACTGAGGGGGGGCATAATATCAGTTTGTTCCCAATATATGAATTAAGTGTGTGTTTGTAGGAAGAGATGGTTCATTACATGCTTGGCAAGGGTGGTTATTAGATAACATGCATATGCACAGTTGGTCAGGACTTTACGAGTAGGTGAGACTGTCTATGGGAGAGACAAGATGTGCGCTTTAGCCGATTTAGAACGAGAGAATCGACACGATTTCAAATGCAGCAAACAAGGGCTCTGGGGTCCTGAAGTCTAGGCGACTGTATACGGTTGAGCAGAAAATTGGTCAAGGGTATTGCCTTCACTTGTCATTGATAAGTTGTAACTCTGTGCTTACAATGGTGCCTCTCACTGGCGATGCAGGCGAAACGTTTGGGAATGTATCCAGCCAATGGTCCAATGCTGGAAATCACGAATACTTTAAAAGGGGACACGGGACTAGGTACGTTTCACAAGGTCGAACCAACTCTATAATAATCACCGTTTATGAAATTCTTGAATATGATTTCAATGAGAACTATAACTAAGAACTTATAGACAGTCATGGAACGCTGATTGTAGTTGCATCAAATGCAATATCGGTGTCTTGCTTCTCTGATACTGTCATTACTGGTTTAAATCGATTCGTCATCATGCGCTCAATAATAAGGGAACTGAAGCCAATTCAGTTATTCTCTTATTCTCTTATGTATGTGTGTATGTATGTATGTATGTATGTATGTCTCAGTTTTCTTATGGATTTTTCGCTTAGGCACTATAATCTTTCTATATCTTCCACTTCAAAAATTTTCTCGAAGCTCTGTATCCAATTGCCATGGCTACAGTCCCTCAATGTGAGCCACAATCCCCTACGGATCAGTCTAGATTCCGTTAGCATGCTTCCTGGTCCGTCATCGTTCCCAGAAGAAGTCGCGTGTTCGTTCAACCCTCAGAAAGATTGCGATGACACTCACAAGCTGTTGGACCCACGCTTGCATACTGACATATTGCCTTCACAAGAAGCAGCTGCAAGAGCCGAAGCCCTCATGCATCATGCTTTTCCTTCTGTCCGTCGGCTCGCCATGGTTTGTGTGAAGCATGTCAACTGGATTCGGCTAGACAGGATCCTAAGTTGGTTTCCCGCGCTTGATGATCTGGTCGTAGCCTACAATCCCGTGAGTCACAATTGGATACTAAGATGAGCTGTTGTCTCTAAATAATAATGAAGGATTTTTTAAAAAGACTTTCTCTTTTATCAAACATGTCTTGTTATTGTCTTCCATGTTCTTTCATCTCGCCATTATCTAAACTATCATTACTTACCAATTGTTTATATATTATTTTTTGTAATACCTATTCACCCCAATGGGTATGGAAACGCACTAAAGTACAGGTAATCCAATTCCGGACTTCACGTCAATTTTATTCATACTTCTTATTAATGATAATTTTGAAAAGTTTACATATTTGCAAAATATTGCTTTTAGCATAGTTAAAATCCGACTCGGGTCTCCGATCCGGATCTCCCTCATGGTCTCGTAGATCCTTTTCTTATCTTTCTGGTTGACTGATTTCACTCGGTCCCAGTGTATGTTTTACTCCAGGCATTGTTTTTCAAGCCCCTAGAAGCACGTACACTGCCGCCTCATTGAGCAGAGCGCCTAGCCTCTGACTATGCTTGCAGATATTAGGCATTACCTTCACGGGTCGTCTCCTTGATTAAACATGTGTAACCTGAGCAATCTAAAGACGCCTCTCTTGTCGCCTACTACATCTCGAGTGGATTTCTATTACAATTTGGCCATTATGCCGAATTTCTGTGACGGTTGTGCTTACCCGTCTCCCTAGTTCCGTGACCTCTAGGCTCCCTAAAGTTGTCATTTCTTTGAGCAGACTTCACTCACTAAGAGTGTCTTCACTTGATTTCCGAAAGTTCTCCTTTTTGCTGGTCTTGCTGTATCCTGGTTTTCCTCGAGTTTGCTTAAGCAATAGGCAAAATTACTGCTAACTCTGCTACCTTCCAATCTCCTGTTCATTAGATTTTTTCCCCAAGGATGTCAATTGCCTTCCGCTTCCTTGTGTTTTCACCGTATGAGGCCCTTCTTCCAGTTTCCCTCCAATTGATCTCGTGTCCAGTATATGCGGTGTGGTCCTCTAATTTTGATCTTTCGGTATCCAGTTTCCTGCAGAGCCTTTGATGTTCCTTGATTCGA